ACACGGTCCAACCAACTGTCTGAATGTAGTGCTTGCCACTGCAATAGGGTCAGACCTTTGTCTGCAGCTGTGTGGATGGGGGGAGCTAGGGCAGAGGGGAGGAAGTCTGGGGAAAAGATCTTGGACGATTTGGGGGGCTACTCTTGGAGTTTTCCCTGCTGGTCCATCCCCTGTCCACTCGTGCACCGTATCCTCCAAGAACCAAGGTCATTTGCTTTTCTTCATGGGCCTTACAGTTGCCTGTTCCAGGAAATGGTCTCTTGGGTACCCTCCAAAGCCCATGGTTCACCTTTCACATGTATATACGTGCATCCCCACATACCATAGCCAAGCTTGCCAAGCCAAGCCAATTGGCCTCACCCACTTGTCTCACCGTCCAAGACATGTGGCATTCCTAAGAACATTCCCTCTGTTGACAGGTTTACTGAGTGAGGACCTTCCACCCACAGGCTATGGAGGCTGTAGTCTGTATGTCTGGAGATGTTTTTAACCTGTCCTGTGATGTTCTTCCTTAGTTACAAGGTCTCTTCCATGTCCATGCTGAGATTTCCCTCCAAAGAGCCACACCCCAGCGGGAAATCTGCCTCCTCTCTCCAGACAGTCTCTAACAGGTGAGGGGAGTACCAGGCAGGTAGCTGCTGGAGAGGAAGCTGCTCTCCAGGCCAGCAGAGCCTGCCCCGCCCCCACCGCCCCCTCCCCACCACACAGCTGCTGACAAAGGGCAAGCAGGGATCCCCAGGGAAGTGCTCCTTCTTGGCTCCAATGGCTTTCTGAGGCTTTCAGTTTCTCACTTGTAACCACACTCTCACCCCACCGAGAAGAGGTCCATGAAGGTCAGACTCCAGGTGAACCCGTGTGTGTGTGTGTGTGTGTGTGTGTGTGTGTGTGTGTGTGTGTGTGTGTCTGTGTGTGTGTGTGTGTGTCTGTGTGTGTGTCTGTGTGTGTGTGTCTGTGACTGTGTGTGTGTCTGTGTGTGTGTCTCTGTGTGTGTGTGTGTCTGTATGTGTGTGTGTGTGTGACTGTGTGTGTGTCTGTGTGGAGTCTGTGTGTGTGTGTCTGTGTGTGTGTCTCTGTCTGTGTGTGTCTGTGTGTGTCTGTGTGTCTGTGTGTCTGTGTGTCTGTGACTGTGTGTGTGTCTGTGTGTGTCTATGTGTGTGTGTGTGACTGTGTGTGTGTCTGTGTGAGTCTGTGTGTGTGTGTCTGTGTGTGTGTCTCTGTCTGTGTGTGTCTGTGTGTGTGTCTGTGTGTGTGTCTGTGTGTGTGTCTGTGTGTCTGTGTGTCTGTGTGTCTGTGACTGTGTGTGTGTCTGTGTGTGTCTATGTGTGTGTGTGTGACTGTGTGTGTGTCTGTGTGAGTCTGTGTGTGTGTCTGTGTCTGTGTGTGTCTGTGTGTGTGTCTGTGTGTGTGTGTGTGTGTGTGTGTGTGTGTGTGTGTGTCTGTGACTGTGTGTCTGTGACTGTGTGTGAGTAAATGAGAGAGAATATAACTGGGGACAAACATTCCAACATTCCTCCCCTGAGATTTGGGGCTCTGGGCCAGCTCTCTCATGACCTGAGTGATCTCTTCTCCCTTCCCATCCTGCCTTTGTGCTGAGGTCATGACCTCTAAAAACAAGTACACCTGTACTGGAGTCTGTGCACTGCTGTGGGATATTGTATGCTGTTCAGTATTTGTTTTAATAATCTAAATATGTGTGCATTCTTTTATGTTGTGTTTGTTTAACTCTATGAAGTTGTGTTACTTTATCTGCCTAAAATGCCTGATTGGTCTAACAAAGAGCTGAATGGCCATTAGCTGGGCAGCAGAGAGAAATAGGTGGGGGACTGTCAGGCAGAGAGAATAAATAATAGGAGAAATCAAGTCTAGAGGAGAGAGAAAAAGGAAAGCAGAAGATACCCAGCCAGACTTGGAATAAGAAGGAAAGATATACAAAAATAGAGAAAAGTAAAAGTCCAGAAGCAAAAGGTAGATGGGATAATTTAAATTAAAAAAAAAAAAAAATCTAACTAAACAAGCCAAGCTAAGGCTAGGCATTCATAAGAAAGAATAAGCCTTCTTATATTTATTTGGGGGCTGGATGGTAGGCCCCCAAAGAGCAAAGAAAGAATAAACCTCTCTCTCTCCCTCTCCCTCTCTCTCTCTCTCCCTCCCTCTCTCTCTCTCTCTCTCTCTCTCTCTCTCAAAAAGAGACCCTCATGAGTGTGGAGACCAAACCCAAGTACACTTTTAAAAAGCCAGCTCCATCTCCTGTGTCAGTCAGGTTTCTGCCATCACTGGTGCTCTGTGCAGATATATTGGCTCCACACCAAGAAACCCTCCCTAACTGACAGAGACCTCCCTAACTAACAGAGACCCTCCCTAACTGACACCCTTCCTAAGTGACTGAGACCCTCCCTAACTGACTGACTGAGACCCTTCCTAAGTGACTGAGACCCTCCCTAAGTGACTGAGACCTTCCCTAAGTGACTGAGACCCTCCCTAATTGACTGAGACCCTCCCTAACTGACTGACTGAGACCCTCCCTAATTGACTGAGACCTTCCTTAACTGACTGAGACCTTCCTTAACTGACTGAGACCCTAACTGACTGAGACCCTCCCTAACTGACTGACTGACTGACTGAGACCCTCCCTAAGTGACTGAGACCTTCCCTAAGTGACTGAGACCCTCCCTAACTGACTGAGACCCTCCCTAACTGACTGAGACCTTCCCTAAGTGACTGAGACCCTCCCTAATTGACTGAGACCCTCCCTAACTAACTGACTGAGACCCTCCCTAATTGACTGAGACCCTTCCTAACTGACTGAGACTTTCCCTAACTGACTGAGACCCTCCCTAACTGACTGAGACCCTCCCTAACTGACTGAGACCCTCCCTAACTGACTGAGACCCTCCCTAACTGAGACCTTCCCCTAACTGACTGAGACCCTCCCTAACTGACTGAGACCCTCCCTAACTGACTGAGACCCTCCCTAACTGACTGAGACCCTCCTTAACTGACTGAGACCTTCCCTAAGTGACTGAGACCCTCCCTAACTGACTGAGACCCTCCCTAACTGACTGAGACCCTCCCTAACTGAGACCTTCCCTAACTGACTGAGACCCTCCCTAAGTGACTGAGACCCTTCCCTAACTGACTGAGACCCTCCCTAAGTGACTGAGACCCTCCCTAACTGACTGACTGACTGACTGAGACCCTCCCTAAGTGACTGAGACCCTCCCTAATTGGCCACCATTCTCTGGAAATGGTGGGAATTTCAGAGTCTGCTTTTCCTCTGTGAATTTGAGGCACAATGGGAGTTTTAGGGAATTTTTCAGACAATCTGATTCTTGTGAGTTTAATCGATGCCAAATAAGTGTCCTTGGTGTCACATGATGCCCAACTTGTAAAGGAAGTGATGAAACTCAAGGAATTCACTAATCCAGACCAACCCAAAGTTTCTGTGATTCTTAGGAGAGCCTGCCGCCATGTACCCTCCCCTCCTCCACCTCCCTGCTCTTATGAGCAGCATTTCCTGGTGGCAGCTGAAGCTACCAACAAAAATGTAAAGACTGAGGAGACAGGAATTCAAAGTACCGGATTCTTCTGTCAGCTCTGATATCTCCTGAACCCCACCTCCCCCCATGTGTCTCTGTCTCCCCCCTCTGCCGACACCCCCCTACCATCCGTCTGCATGTTTGATCAAGTACATGTGAGTAAATGGAGGGCAGAGGTCAACCTTGGGTGCTGACCTTGAAGGGACCAGACCCTCACCCAGCCCCTTGCTTTGGCAGCCATGACAGGATGCAGAAAAGACCCAGCAAGATGTGGGCCTCTGACTCAGCAACATGGGCTGAGCTCCTGACCTTCCTTAATTACTGGGAATAAACTGTCAGATACCCTCCATGTGGCAAGGAACCAATCAGAAGTTGGCAGGCTCTGGATGTGCTTTATGGTAACGGTGGCATGCAGAGCATAGCAACTGCCCTGGGAGGGCCTCCAGTCATAGCAACCTTCCTGTAGCTGCAGCTGACCAATCAACACAGGACAGGCCTCCCAAGCCCAGACATGCACCAATCCTGAGACTGTTACTATACAACTAGCAGACTCCCCCAGACACTCCCCTTGCTCTACCAATGCTCCCCTGCCCCACTGCTGTTCAAGGTCCTCTCCTGCCCCTGCCTTCTTCACCTGCTGTCCCGCTGTGTAGGATGGGGGGGTAGGAGGGGGCAAATCTTTGCTTTTGCATCAGATCTTGGGTCTCTTGGTGATTTGGGGATGGTTCAGAGTTTGGGCACAGCAGACATTAGCTGCCCACTTGTTTTTCATGTTTTGTTTTTTACTTACATTGTGTGTGTGTGTGTGTGTGTGTGTGTGTGTGTGTGTGTGTTTGCTTGCGTATACATGTGCATCATGAATCATGCCACAGTAAATGTGTGGTAAGAGAACAAATTTCCAGTTTTCTCCTTTCATCGTGTGACTTAGGAGATGCAACTTAGGTCATCAAGCTTGGCAGAAAGGACCTTAGCCTGCTGAGCCATCTTTCTAGCCCTTCTCCTTGTTTTCTGAGACTGGGTCTCTCACTGAGACCTGGTGTCATTAAGTAGGCTAGGCTGGCTTGTCAGAGAGCCCCAGAGATCTTCCTGTGTCCCCTCCCCAGTGCTAGAATTGCAAGTATTTTACATGGGTCCCTAGGGGAACAACTTGGGGCCTCATGCTTGCACAGCAAACATTTTACCAACAGAGCTGCCTACCTGCCACCCTGTGTCTTGATCTCTTTACATGAAAGATGAACCTATTATCTGTTCATGCCAGTCTCTGGATGCTGGAACCTGAGGACCATGCTAAGGATCCACGGACAGATGCTGCACATTTCCCACATGCCTGTCCCCTAAGCCCTCATTGGTCCTGGGCTGAGCAAGATACAGATTCCCCAGGGCTACAAGGGGAGGCATTTGTGTGTTCAAGGAACAAGTAAGCCCTACAGATTGAGCCCTTTGTGGGGCACAGGGCACACCCACCTTTTCAGCTATCAGGAAGTCAGAGTGGAGGGCCTCTCGGGTACAGATGGCACCAAGCAGGAAGGCAAAGACGATGTACAGAAACCACCTGCAAAACCCAAGAGAGTGAGCTGCCACCCAGCCCAGCCCCACCCCACCGAGCCTCAGGTTTCCTTGGGAACCTGTGTCATGAAAGGCCAGCCATGACGCCAAGGAGCTAGCCTGGGAAGCTGCATTTTGTACTTTCTCCTCTGGGACCAAGGTAGCAGTGTTTTCATAAAGAAGGGTACTGAGGGGGCGAAGTGGGAAGCCCAGCTGCCAGGTCTTGGCCAGGGTTGACCTGCCGTCCCACAGCCCATCCAACTTCCTCCAAGCAGAAGAGCTGTGTATGCAGTCATCTCCTGGGCCTCTGGTCTCTAGACCACAGATAACAGGTACTGAGAATTTTGTCACCTTGGCACAAGCTAGTGTCAACTGAGAAAATGTCTGTAAGGTTGACCTGTGGCCTGTAGGCAAGTGTGGGAGGCTTTTTTTTTTTTTTTTTGGATTAATGATTGATGGGGGGAGGGTCCAGCCACTGTGAGTGCTGCCATCCCTGGGCAGGTTGAGCAAACCATGTGGAGCAAGCCACTGAGCATCATTCCTCCATCCATCATCTCTGTTTCTGTTCCTGCCTCCAAACTGACTTCCCTCCATAAACTGTAAGCGGAAATAAACCCTTTCCTCTCCAAGGTCATGGCATTGTATCACAGCAACAGAAAGCAAATTAATACATAGAGGAGAGAATTAAAAGGCAGAGCCATAGCCTGCCTCTACCACCAAGCTGCAGCCCGTGTAAGAGAATAAGTCACATGATCCCAAGGTCTGCCCATTCCCATCTGGGCAATAATGACAGGATATACCAGCCTCTGACTTGCAGCTGGCTGTGTCTAAAGCAGGGCTGGCTGCTCATATGGAACCTTCTTCCTCTTTCTCCCAACACTAGGCTCTCCCTGTTTCTTCATTTCTTACCAATGGTGTTGCCTCATTTTGCACACATGGCCATGGAGGGCTGGGGTACCTGACTGGCAGCAATGGAGGCACTGCAGTGTGTGTTTGCAGGTGGGTATTTCAACAACTTAAAGTATTGTGTTATGCAGGCTTCTCACACAATGAAGGCAGAGATGCATCCTTCTGCCCACACAAGGGGAGACAGCAGAAGATTCTAGAGGGTCAGAAACAGACCCTAGGTCATGTCACAGTCTGCTGGTGAGAGCAGCACAATGGGAACTAAAACTCCAAAACTAGCAACCCTAGGGCAGCAGAAGGGGAAGGAAGACCCATCTCTGAGCTTCTGCTACTCACCCTCCAACGTAGCATCTCCCTCCACCCATAAGGTGCACACATGTAGACACACCCACACATACGCTCACATTCACACACTCACACTTGCATGTACACACACACACACACACACACACACACACACACACACATTATATACACCCAGAAAGCTGACGAACAGGATGCAGACAGTAGTCTGTGATTGCAACATACTTCATTTCCATGTTCCCACCACAACCCTGGGAACTTAGTGGTTAAAAAAAAAAAATCCCCTAGTTAAAAATGAGGGTGGAGAGGAGGCAGGGTGGTTGAGGGGGTGGGGTAAGGGAAGGATTTGGTTTGCATTCATGACCTTTCTCCTCCTGAAGCATTCTCAGGCAGAGGGTGTGAAAGGACAGGGTCTGAACCCGGCAGACGTGAATTTTCCAGCCCACCGAGTGTAAAAGGAGGGTTGGAATACAAAATAGGTTGGTCACAGCCAGGGCACTCTTGGAACAATGGGGGAGTCCCCTCTTCTGCCTGGGGTTTTCTCTCCCATTCTCCAGCTCACACTGATTGCTAAGAAGGGAACTTACGAGATGCCAACAGCTGCTAGGGAGCCTAGAGGTATGCTGGTAGCAGGCTCCCTCAGGTCTCCTCCCATGTTGAAGCCAGCCATGACGCCTGAAAGACACCCAGACAAGGGATGGAGTGAGGCGGGTACTCTGAAGCAAATAGCTCTTCCCAGGGTGGTCCCTTCCTGTCCTCTGGGTCCTTTCCTGGAAGCTGCCATCTGCAACAGTGCAAGCAGGCCACTGCCTCATCTCCCCCTGGCAACTGGGGAGGCATCTGCGGGGCAGTGAAAGGGACCTTTGTGGATTGTGCTGTGCTCAGGGAGGAAATCCCTCCCAGCTCTGAAAGCATCTTACAACTCTGGAAAGTATCAAGGATGAGGGAGGTGTGCTCACAGCCACAACGGTCCTGATGCCCCATGCTGAGCTCTGCCTGCTTAGCTAGGACAACCCAAAGTAGCTCCTAGAACAAAAAGCCTGTAGATTTATTCTGCTGCCAGCTATTTTATTGAGGGTTCAAGTACACTCGGGGTCAGGTATCACCCAGTAGCCAGGACAAAGTGCCATGCTCAGAGCTCCTGACCTACCAAAGGGCTCCAAATGACAAAAATCTGCCGAGACCACTGTGTCAGTCTCTTATTACCTTCAGTCCCCAAGAACACCAATGAAGCATTTGATAGGTAGAGGCAAGTGGATGTCTGTAAGTTCAAGACCAGCCTCCTCTGTATGGAAAGTTCTAGGACAGCCAGAGCTACATAGTAAAACCCTGTCTCAAAAATTAATCCCCTCCCTGCACACAAGAAAAAAATAATGAAAATTAATTCATCTATCATGGTAGGGGACCAATAGCATGGATGGGAGGAGGGAGGTACTTCCTCTCTCTAGACATACTCAACAGGACAATGTGTTTTGAAGTGAGATGAGGGCCCAGCCCATGAGTGCTCTATCAACTCAGAGTGAAGGGAAATATCACCATGAAACTCTTGACACAGCAGGTAGAGATGGCAGCGCCAGGAACGTGGCCCTGATGGAGCTTTAGTGGACTCAGGGATGACATGGGTCTGATACCACCATCGTAGACTGACACTCAGCCTGCCTGGCTGGGTAAGCGCTTTGTGCAGATTTTCTTTCTGTTTAACCTTTACCACAACCATTCCAGAAAAGGAGAATTATTCCCTTGTTTTATAGGAAAGCTCTAGAAAAGTTGACTGAAATAGCCTAAAGGCTTACATTTGGTAACTGGCAAAGCCAGGCTTCAGCCTGGCTATCTGGCTCTGACAGTCCCATTCCTAATGGTCTCTGCTGTGATGCCTCAGGGAGCCTGGGAGGAGCAGAGTCAAGAGAGAGGATTTGGGGCCAGGAAGCTATGGGGCGGGGCTAGTTTAAAGAACCCTGGATATTGCACCAAGGATTGGCTCTACACACATTTTTGTCCTGGTTATTCTACCCACAAGAATTTACCCAATAGCCAAGGGCACTGTGCTGGGCCGTCAACTGAGAGTCACTGGGAGGAGGGACCCTCAGTTGAAGAACTGTCTGGATCAGATTGGCCTGTGGACATGTCTGTGAGGAATTATCCTGATTGAAGATTGATGTGGGAGGGCCTAGCCCACTGTGGGAAGCATGTTCCCTATGCAGATGGGTCCTGGGCTAAGTAACAAAGCCAGGAAGCAACATTCCTCCATGGTTTCTGATTCAGTTTCTCCCTCCAGGTTCTTTCCTCATGTTCCCTCAGTAATGGACTGTTACTAGCAAGTATAACCCAAATGTACTGGTCAGGTTTCTGTTAACTTGACACAAGCTAGAGTCATCTGAGAGGAGAAACCTCAAGTAAGAAAATGCCTCCATAAGATCAGGCTATAGGCAAGCTGATTGATGGGAGAAGGCCTAGCCCATTGTGGGTGGGGCCGCCTCTGGTGTCCTGGGTTCTATAAGAAAGCAGGCTGAACAAGCCATGGGGAGCAAGCCAGTAAGCAGCACCCCTCCATGGCCTCTGCATCAGCTCCTGCCTCCAGGTTCCCTTCCATGTTTGAGTTCCAGTCCTTCTTTCGATGATAAATAGTGATACAGAAGTGTAAGCCAAATAAACACTTCCCTCTCCAACTTGCGCTTTGGTCGTGCTATTTTGTCAGAACAATAGAAATCCTAACTAGGACATCAAATAAACCCTTTTGTCTTCTGAATTTCTTTTGGTCAGACTGTTCTATCACAGCAACAGAAAAGCAAATCAGAACACCTATGAATGAAGGTGTAACCAACAGGTTCATAAATGTGGTGATATTTTGTTTGTGATCTAATAAAGCTCCCGTGAGAGCAGACCGGATGGCCCCTTACAGTCTGAGGTGGAGTTAAGAGCTAGTGGCTGGCCCGTTGCTCTTCTGATCTTCAGGCCAGCTTTATTTGTTAGATTACAAACAACATCTCACTACATACAAATACTTATTTAAGCAGTGAAAATTACAGGCTATATCATGCCCTAAAGCTAGAGGGTTAGTTAGCTAAGAAAATGATGATGATATGCCTTCAATAAATACTAGGCCTCAGATTCAGTGTGGGATATGCTGTGACACAGAAGGGCAGGTAAAGCTATTGTCTAAAGAGGTTTAGCAGAAACAGAACATATGGCATATTCCCACTGTTACCAGAGAGAGAGAGAGAGAGGAAAGAGGCTCAGTTCATGAAGTGCTTGCCACACAAAGAATAGGACCTGAGTTCGAGGCCCTCACCCACATAAATAGAAAATGGTAGCATATGCCTGAGATCCAGCCCTGGGGAGGTCAAGACAGCACCCCTGGGGCTTGTGGCCAGACAGTTTAGCTGAATCGGCAAGCTCCAGGTTCAGTGAGGAGACCTCATCTTAGAAAACAGGATGGAGAATGACAGAGGAAGACACACACGCATACACACACATACACACACACACACACACACACACACACGCACACACACAAGGAACTAGAACAAGTTTACAAATATTCATCATATTTCTACATGATGGAAGAACATTTGTTTTTTCAATTTGTTTATATTTTCCCAGTGTTTTACAGTGATCATTTTTTAGCTTTGTTTATGACAGGCTGACCTTGGACTCTATGTACCTCCCAAGGGCCAGGATGACAGGTTAGTGTATTCAGAGCTGATGCTCCAATCCCCTCCCTGCTCCCCTCCCCTATACAAGGCAAACACTGTCAATTGAGCTACATCTAAGCTCAAGGCAATTTTCCACTATGGGGGAAATAAGGTTGGAAATGACCTGGCAGGTCATTCCTATTATCTTTCTATTCATTCTTCTTCTCCTTAAAGGAACTAGTAAAGGTGCTGGTGGGATTAACTGGTGCCTCTGCAGAGAGAATGCATCTATTCTAAGACAAAACTGTTTGGGACACAGAGACAATTAAAAACAACAACATGACAGAAATGGAAAGGGCAGCTTTGGAAGGTTCCTGGGGATTCTCAGTACATGGCCTGAGGGCTGCCAGGCTGCCTATGTGGATGCTGCACCTCAATGAAGCCCTGCCTGTGAATCAGCCAGGCACACAGACTGTGCTTACCCTCCCATCCAGCAGGAAAACAGTACTGAACAACCTATAGCACAAGAACCCACACAACAACCAGAGCTCACCAGCTGAGGGTTGAGAACCACAACCAATAAACAAAAACCTGAATAAGTATGGAGCAACCCCAATAGAAGAAACACATAAATCATTGCTGAGAGAACTTTGAAGAAAAACACTAATTAGTAGCTTCGGATACATCCAAGAGGAATATCCTTCCAGCAAAATAAAATGCAGAGGAAAAAATTCCAAAAAGAAAGGATAATTATAAGTTAAATTGTGATCATTAGAGTTAAATATGCCATAGATCTGGGCTGGTGAGATGGTCTGTGGGTTAAGGCATTTGCCACTACATTTGACAACCTGAGTTTGATCCCTGAGGCCCTCATGGGGGTACATACAATTAACTAATAAACTAATTTTATAACTTATTTATATTAAGTTGTAAATGCCATAGATCTGGAAAATAAAATTAAGTGTATATGCCCAAGCATGTAGGATAGAAATAGAAAGGGGTAGGAAAGTTCAGGAAGTCAGAGAGAAACTTGAGATTGTAGTAGGCAGAGAACACAGAGAAAATAGAAACAGAGAAGATAAAAGAAAACTCTAGGTTAAGAGATAGAAGTTTCTCCAAATGAAGAAGACCCATGTCTTCATTCCCTACTTCCCAGCACCTAAACACATCACTGTGCTATTTCCAGAGAAATCCAATGCTGCCAAGGATAAAAACAAGCAAGCAAACAAACAAACAAACAAACAAAAAACCCTGAACATTAACATGAGAACTAAAAGCTGACCAGCATCAGGCTTCTCATCAACACTGAATTCTAAAAACACTAATTTTGAAATTTGTAGGGAAGATTGTTTTTAGACTAGAGTTTTTGGATAGGTGATCAATTAAGGGAAGTAAAGTTAAGCCAACAACAAGACCTCAGAAACTTCCCTATAAAATTTCTGAGAAAGTTGCTAAAGTATGTACTCCAACAAAATGAAAATGTCAGTTGCAAAGGGGAAAAAGTAGCGGTAATAACTCAGGAGTGACGTGAAGCTCCAAGATAAAGGGAGAGGAGCCGAGGCTGAAGTTTACAAGGACAGGGGCCCTGGGTAGGAAATGTATGAAGCAATAGTGGCAATGCATGGTCACACACAATTACTTTTAAGATTTTTGAAAATCTAGGAAAAGCAGCAAAAATTTCCAAGGTCTAAATAGGACAGGGATAACCCCAGAGGACATCATGGGTCCTCTCCTACAGGGTTCTCTCTTGAGTGTTTGAGAAGCAATGGGGGCTCACTGCTTACCATCTGGGTGAAGGACAGTAGACCTCAAGTAAAGATCTAGGTTACATGGAACCTAAACTTGTAGAAGTAGATGTATATAAGGTTATGAATATGAAACTAGGGTGGGGCCTTAGTAGGAATTCGTGGCTTCATTGACTTCCTGGAAGGGGCCGCAGCATTTCTCCAAAGCTTGGAAACTGAAGTGAAAGGTTCATGTTAGCTGAGCACGGTGGTGCCCTTCTGTAAGGAGCAAAGGCAGGAAGATCAGCTACACAGCAAATTCTTGGATAACCTGGGCTATGTTGTATGTGTGTGTGTGTGGGGGGGGTTGTGTTCATGGCATTTGGAAATGGAACTTTTGAGAGGTAACTAGGATAAGAAGTCATAAGAATGGGACCACATGGGGACACTGGTGGTT